AGCCAGTACCACGCAAGATACCGACCGACGCCAGAACTGCTTGTGTAGCGTCAAATTTGCGACATGCATGGCGCTGGATGCTGTCAGACACAGACAAGGCAACCACTAGACACGCCCCTTACCCAGAGCTCGCCATGTGGTCACTGTTGGAAAACATCAGCAGTAAAGTTCCGAATGGGGATCGAAAACCCCTACGTGCCGCAAGAGCAGAAACATTTTAGCGTGTTCTGTGGGGGTGAAGCAACGCAAGGCTGTGACGTGCCAAGAAGGCGAGACTTCAGGAAAATGTTGGAGGAAATTGATGTGACGCCTCAAACATGGAATAATTTTGGTCAATGAAGGCAGGTAGGTGTAAGTCTGCTGCGAGTGCGGATCAACTAGTGAGAATTAGGGGTGTAAGAAGATAAACAGAGGTTCCTGAGACAAACTGCCCAGAGGGAGTTCTTTTCAACTCTCCTGTAAATATGCCGTGTTGGGGCAAGAACTCATTGCGCACTAATATGCACCATGCAGCCAAGGCCACGGCGTACGCCGAATTAGAACAACCATTTGCAAGACTTTTGGTCAGGAGTGACTTTCAAAAAATAAGGGATTCCTCTCCTCAAAAGTTGGGGATTTTATCTGGAGTCCAATGCCATCTTTCCAAAAGTGTCTCGTTAGTAACCCTTCAATGAACCAGCTTGATTCGAAATGTTGAACAACTCTTTGTGCAAAGAATTAGTAGTTGTCTATACAATGGTGTCAACTAGAGTATTTTTAAGGCGCAACCTCTACCAGCCAGGGTCATCGAGAAAAGGTTACAAGCGTTTGATTTGGATGCCTCTGCCAATGGAAATTTCCACCATGGAAACCCACATAAAGAATATTGAAAGAAGGGGTGCCTACATGATAACCGTCATCCTCAAAGGCGTTCATCAAACACCTTCAGCTTTTTTTTTCTCGTAATCACATAGGCGGCTTTAGACTCCACTTCCCTCCAGTCTCGGTTTTCTGCACGGACCGGACACGACAGCACGATGTTCCGACCCGACTGTCACATACGACCATAGGCAATGGAAAATTCGGGATCCCGTCCGCTCTCCCATAGACAAGCCAGCGACCGCCAGACTAGTAGTTGGGTGGGTGACCACCAGCGAATCCTTGGTGTTGTATGTGTCTTTTGCTTTTTACATGTTTCATAAATGTGGTGAGAGCTTTCTTCTTGTGAATTCTTTTGGCTTTTTGTCTCGTTTCGTTGGTGACTTATTGTGCAATCCCAAAAGTTATGAGAAAGAATCAACGGAATGCAAGTGGAGTTGGAATAGTTAAAAAGGAGAGTGGAGTTCAGAGTCTAGTAGCTTGAAAATGTAGTCAAATCCCAGGCACCTAGGTTCCACATAGAAGGACAATTGACTCACGGCGTGGTACCCGTATTGACGTGGACATTGGAATTTGGGCCACTGTAAACGCCTTCCGACAATGCTGAAAATTTGGTCGTAGTAGAGACCTGGTTGTAAGATTTCTTGGAGCCTGAGGGCATTAGGTCACGATAACGCGCACTTTCACGTCGCAGATCGCCCTCCTCAACATCAATTCAAAAGCTGCCCCCATTGCAATCCTAACCATTCATGGCGGCCCGTGAGAAAGGCGGCATCGTCCAATGCAGAATGTCCGATGCCACCGCGAAGAGATGCCGAGATGATGGCGGATTCAGCCTGGGACCCCAAGGATAAACCCCTGAAGATAAATGAAGGAGGAGGTGCTCAGACAAACAACCATCCACACTTCTTGGACAGTACCGGTGTGAAGCTAGGTGAAGTCCGTAGGGCTTCCCCCCCCCCCCCCCCCCCCAAAAAAAAAGAGGGGGCGGCAGCCAATTGCATGTACCCGAGACAATGGTCGGGGGCAATTTGCAGGGCGAGAACATGTCGATTTTATGAGTGAGCGTCGGCGGCAATATGGTCCCCAAGTCCTGGGCTCGACTTCCCCGCCCGAATAGATTGCTGACTGGCCACCGACACGCTTGTTGGACCGAGCCGCGTATACTGGCGACATATTCCGGGTCTCGCTCAGCTTCACGGCTAATAAACATCCCCAATTTCTGTTCAAGGTTAAAAAGTCTCCGCGCCTGGGTCTGGGGAAAGTGGGGTATTATAAGCCTGGATATCAAACACTGCTGGTGATGGTGATGGTGGTTTTCTTTTAAGACGTCCCTTCTGTCCCGGGAATCTGGAAGCTGAGCGGCGATTTTGATCTACACTCCTCATCCCGGCGTGGCTCATACAGGATCAACTATTTTCTTTACCATTTTTGACCAGTATTTCAGCCAATTGACTCAACATGCATGTCCACTCCAAGTTGGCAGTGGTTGGCGCCGCGGTGTCGTTATGTGAGTCGAAAAAATGAAACGGGGGCGGAAAACTGAGAACAAAACATGAAACGAGGCATCATTCAAGTCCCATCCACTAACACAGACTTTCAAGGGTTTCAACCCGGCGCAGCACAGACCTGTGCCAACGTCTCGACCACCCAGACATACGACTACATCATCGTGGGCTCAGGCGCCGGCGGCATTCCGATTGCAGATCGTCTGAGTGAGGCCGGGCACAGCGTCCTTCTCATCGAAAAGGGCCCTCCATCAACGGGAAGATGGGGCGGAACGATGAAGCCCAAGTGGCTTGCCGATACCAACCTGACCCGGTTTGACGTGCCGGGCCTCTGCAACCAGATCTGGGCTGATCCCTCGGGCGTGTCCTGCACCGACGTCGACCAGATGGCGGGCTGCGTCCTGGGCGGCGGAACCGCGGTCAATGCGGGACTCTGGTGGAAGCCGCACCCTGATGACTGGGACACCAACTTTCCCACTGGATGGCAGAGCAAGGACCTGGCGGGGGCCACAGAGAAGGTCTTTTCCAGGATTCCCGGCACAACAGCGCCCTCCATGGACGGAAAGCGCTATCTATCCCAGGGTTTCGACATGCTAGGCGGAAACCTGGGCAAGGCGGGCTGGAAGTTCATCGTACCCAACGACAACCCTCAGCTCAAGAACCGCACGTACGGCCACAGCACCTTCATGTATTCTGGTGGTGAGCGTGGCGGTCCTCTGGCCACCTACCTCGTGAGCGCGAGCAGTCGCAAGACGTTCACCCTCTGGACAAACACGGTTGCGAAGCGTGTGGTCCGCACGGGAGGCCACATCACGGGCGTTGAGCTCGAGTGCAACGGAGCAGGTCATGCTGGTGTGGTGTCGGTTACTCCCACCACCGGCCGCGTCATTCTCTCCGCTGGCGTGTTTGGATCTACCAAGCTGCTTTTCCGAAGTATGACTTTCATTTTTGTTTCAGAGTCTAGTGAATGTTATGCTAACATATGACTTCAAGGCGGCATCGGCCCGACAGATCAGTTGAACATTGTCAAGAACTCGGCCGACGGGCCAACCATGATTGGCAACGATTCGTGGATCAATCTTCCAGTTGGGTACAACTTGAACGACCATGTTGGTGTAAGTGACGTCCGGAAATGCCCAATTGTACTGTACAACGTTAATGAGACGTCTCGTAGACCGATATCGAGATTGCCCACCCCGATGTTGTCTTTTACGACTACTATGGTGCCTGGACCAAGCCCATCGTCAGCGACACGGAGACATATCTAAGTTAGTTAAACGGCTCCTAAGAACACAACGACCTGTAAGCTAATTGTTTTCAGCCAACCGGACTGGTCCTCTCGCCCAGGCTGCCCCTAACATTGGTCCCATTGTAAGCCGCCGTTACAACAAACAACCGGAATCCACCACACTAACACACACGTAGTTCTGGGAGATCATCAAGGGAGCAGATGGCGTACTTCGCCATTTGCATTGGCAATCACGAGTGGAGGGAACCTTGAACAGTATTCAACCCAAACTCTTTCAAGGAGTATATATATATACTAACTTAAACAGCCTCGATGACCGTCACCCAGTACCTCGGAACGGGCTCCGTTTCCCGAGGAAGGCTCACCATCACCCGCCAGCTCAACACGGTCGTCTCCACTCCCCCGTACCTTCACGACGAAAACGACAAGGCGGCGGTAGTGCAGGGCCTTATCAACCTCCAAGAGTCTCTGGCTAGTGTTGCCAATCTGACGTGGATCACACCCAGGTCCAACGTTACGGCCGCGCAGTTTGTTAACTCGGTGAGTTTTACCGTTTAAGGCTTCAGTGTGTTGCAATAAGGAATGAAGACCCACTAATGCCGACATAACTTGAAGGTCCCGGCGACACCATCCCGAAGAGGCTCCAATCACTGGATTGGTAGGATTTTTTTCTTTCTTTTGTTTACCCCCAGTTCCCCCCAAATTGTTATCTACGACCACATTACTGACCGTGATTCACCCACAGGAACCGCCAAGATCGGCGCCGACGATGGGCGCACCGGCGGCAAGTCGGTTGTTGACTTGAACCTGAAAGTTTACGGCACAGACAACCTGTTTGTCGTGGATGCTTCCATCTTCCCTGGCATGATCACGGCCAATCCGTCTGCGGCTATCGTCATTGTTTCTGAGCATGCTGCAACTAAGATTCTTGCCCTGCCTCCTGCGGCCGCTTGAGTCGCTGTCACGGCTTGTCAGGTTGTCCTCCGCTTTCAGACCCACCGTGTGGAGATGCAGTTTTATCAACTTGGTGAGCTGGCTTCTTGGACGAAAGAGGCCATGAGCATGCATTAGTGTATATCGTCGGACATCAGCAAACAAAAATGCAGTTTCAACTTTCACGTCTTGTCTACCCCGATCTCCAACACTGTGATATGCCCTCGTGAATTCGTTTCCATCTATTAGCCGGATCTTGAGGTAGTAGTAGCCGGAACCCACAACTACCACTTTTGATTGCCGAGGATGATGCAAGTCGTTGTGTCTCCACAACCGGGTGCACATCCACCATCTCAACAAAACTCTTCTCCACCGCCATCCATCACGAGTCATGCCCCAACACAACCCCTTGTGCACCTTTTCCACCCACTACTTCCATCAAACAAAGCATAGGGCGTGTGGCTCAGTTGGTAGAGCGTTCGCTTAGCATCTCATCGTCCCTCACAGACGATCTTCCGATGCGAAAGGTCCTGGGTTCGATTCCCAGCCCGTCCAAAGTCTCTTTCAAATCTTTCTGTCTGGCGTCTATGGTCTAGTGGTTAGGATTCATCCCTTCCAACCCGATTCGTTTCGGGTGATGATAGGATGAGGGGGGGGTTCGATTCCCTCTGGTCGCAGCAAGTCCAGGTATTACGGTTCCGTTTATCTTTTTGACTCTCATATTTTTTAGTTGGGTGTATATGGGCAGGCATTCGTGCCTCTTGCGACTCGGATGCGTTGGTAAGGGTTAGGGTTCAAGCACTCCATATTTTTATTTGCTAAATGTCAGGCTTTCTTAGGTGAGGGAGAAGGTAATCTCTTTCTAGGTTTGCGTATGCCGCTGTTTTTGGGGGGTTACAGCACCATTCAGAGATTGCTTTACACTGAAAACTTTTGTTATAATGCGCACTTCGAAGGATTGTCGGCGGCGCAGGCAAAAAGGGCAGGTGGGGCGGTTTTAAGTGACTTTTGGTTTCAGTTCTCGTGAGGCTTCCCAGATGGAGAAAAATGTGGCAAAGGAAGACTTCGAATTGAGTTCAGGGGTGAAAACCCAAGTGGACGGTAGGCATGATTGGCAGGGCAGACATTACTTGAGGTTGGAGTCCGAATTATACGAACTCCTTTCTGATGGCTCCGTTCAGTTTCTGGGAGAATTCGCCAACTTCAGGTTGCACTAACCCTTGGGCCCCGGGAGCGGGACATGATGTGCCGATCTCCGCGTGCGACCTGTTGTTCCAAGCCACAAATATCCCGGTCGGTGGCTTGGCCGACTTATCATTTCGGGTTAACTTTCGCATTGATAAGATGTCGATTTGGGCCAATAATGGCTGCCACTGCCCCCCTGCTGATGCAACGCGATATCATCCTGTTCCCGCGGATTGGTGCACAGAAGCGCGTCTTTCATCCCATGCCCGCACACAATGCGCAGGACGTCTGGTTGGACACTGTGTGCCAAGTGCGGCGAGGTCAACCCCCTAGCCCCTTTGGGCGGTTTGCTCAGCCGCAGTTTCCCTTCTGCCAAAAAGCTTCCCCACTCGATTTTAATTACGCAGGTCAGTAGCGCGGGTTACCGATTGAACGTCCAGACACGCTTCTCGAAGCAACATCGTGTCTGGAGAAAAGAATGGTGAAAATCGGGCTGCGTCGGCCGGTGATCGCGTCTGCCGTGCTGATCACCGTCCTCTCGCTCGGCTGGCTCTTGCGCCCGGTGGCATGGCGTCCATCGCGGGCGACGCTCAATCTCCGATCGTCGATCCTGTCACACCGTCAAGGATATAACGTCGAGCTCGTGATCGCTCGGGCCAAGACGGAGAGAACCGACTGGATCTTGCAGGAACTGCCCGGGATATCCAGCGCCGTGTACGTGGTGGACGACTCCTCCAGCACAGAACCCACCGGAGCACCACAAACGAACAAGGGCAACGACGCCATCGCCTATCTGAGCTACATCGTCGACAACTACGACGCGCTCCCCGACATCGCCATCTTCACCCACGCCCACCGCGAGGGCTGGAACAACGGCTTCCTGGGCGAGCGCTCGCTCGAGGTCATCAAGCGCCTCAACGGCATTCGCGTCGAGCGCGAGGGCTACGTCAACCTCCGCTGCGACTGGAGCCCGGGCTGCCCCCACTGGATCAGCGACTCGGAGCCGCCGTCCAAAGACTCAAAGGACACCAGCGCCGCCAACGAGAAGCAAGCGGCCACCTTCCGCGCCGTCTGGCCCGAGCTGCACCCGGGCATCCCTGTCCCGTCCGAGGTCGGCCAAGCCTGCTGCGCCCAGTTCGCCACGTCGCGAGACCGCATCCTGGCCACCCCGCGCGCGAGATGGAACGACTACCGCGACTGGCTGCTGGGCACCAACCTGACCGACAGCGAGTCGAGCCGCGTGTGGGAGTACACGTGGCAGTACGTGCTCGCCGGCAAGGCCGTGTGGTGTCCCGATATGTCGAGCTGTTATTGTGATGGCTTCGGCGTGTGCTTCAAGTCGCCCATCAAGATGACTGAGTGGCTGACTGAGAAGAAGCTCCACGACACCTTGTTGGACAAGTATCTCAACGCACAGGCCGTCGGGGAGGAGATGGTCGGGGTCAAGATCCAGGTGGACAAGCTCGCTGCGAATCTGCGGAGCACGTTGGACAAAGCGATCGTGAGAGGTGATGAGTATTTACTGAGCGTTGGAAACAAAGAAGGGAATCAAGTGTAAAGTCATGTGTAGGAATTTGGGCGTACCGCTTGGGGTTCTTGTGACTGGTCGGGATTTTGCCCCCAATCAGATTTTCGGTCTCGGGAATCAGATTCACATTTATAATTGTTGATCCAATGACAGTAGCTGTTCTGATGACTTACCACTGAATATGGGGGAGCTGCTGATTTAGAAATAAAACTGGACCGTGGTTCGCTGAAGATGGCAGGCGGCTAATATAACGTCTGTAATATCTGATTGCGGATATTCCACCAATATTGCGAATTTGGCACACAGACCGCGAATCAGCCTGATCGAGCCACAGCACGGCATCCAGTAGTACCGCAGCGTGTTGTATCTCCCGAGTTGCTCCTCAATATACGAAGGCTTGGACATGGAGTTAATAGTCCTATATCGCCCATTTATTCGGCACTTGTGCATCACGGGCCAACAAGACATATGACCCTTGACTTCTCCTTATCCAACCTTGTGTTAATTCTAGAGCGGTGATCCGTCTTCAACAAAGCTTTTACGTTATCTTGTCAACAACCAGAATGAGGAGCAAATTCGTCGCAGTCACCTTGTTGGGCGTGGCTTCTGCCTACACCGACATCCGCCACAAACGATTCATGATCAAAAATATCGATCCCATTGTCCTGCCGGGCCAGTACAGGTCCCATATGCACTCTTTTTACGGTTCTGATGTGGTCACTAAGGACCTTCCAACGACCGAAGAACTGCAGAAAGGATGCCCTTCCGGCGAGAACCCCAATGATCTTTCAGTCTACTGTAAGCTGTGACAATACCCCCTACCAGCACATTTGATATTTGAAACTGAGCGGAGACATCATAATGAAATTGCAGGGGCTCCGACATTGTACCACGTCGGGCCCGGCGGTAACTACACCGAGGTCAACCCAGTCATGTTCAGCACCTATTACGAGAACATCGACAAGGCCGAGATTCCGTTTCCGCGCGACTTCTACGCCGTCGCGGGCAACGCCAGCGCCAAGAGCCAGACTGACATCGACGAGCGCTTGACCGCCATCACCTGGTGGTGCGAGAACGGGCCCGAGGACCGCAACACCCGCCCGCGCGCCGCCCTGCCCACCGTCACTTGCAGCACGCACATCCAGGCCATTCTGCGGTTTCCCGACTGCGTCAACGTGGACAACATCAAGAAGTACAGCTACGCGGCGGCCAACGGTGGGCGCTGTCCGTCTGACATGAAGCGCATGCCGCAGCTGCGGTTTTCGATTCGCTACGACGTGCGGAAACTGCTGCCGGATGGGTGGACGGGGCCGCCGCCGCTTAAGTTGGCTTGTGGACAGGTTAGTTATCATTGTCTTCCCCACCCCACCCCACCCCTTTTCCGCAACTTTGATGCCTATGATTGAATATGTTTGGAATTCTGACGTTAGACGAACAGGTTGGAGAAGGATACTGTCTGCATGGTGACTTCATCAACGGCTGGTTTGACGATGCGCAGCAGAATCTGCTCAAAGCGACGGGCGGGAGACAGTGGATGCGGATCGACGGCGCCAAGGGCCTTGGTAAGGCGGGCAGTTCGTGTCAGACCAAGGATGCGGATCCGGAGCATGGGACGAGCGACTATAAGGAGAGTTTGAAGATGATGTCCATGGCCTGATCGGTTGCATGTGCTATCTGAAGGTTTGGAGTTGGATTAAGGCTGGGATGGGATATGTTTTTTTTTTGGGAGGTTTAGCTCATGGTGCACCTTCACGGGTGATGAAAAGTAAGGTACTTGACTTACCTGCTCCATTAGGCCGTGCAGTGCATTGGACAAAAATGACCTCATGTCACACAAGGGACCTCTCCCAGGCATTAGTGCAAAGAACTGGGGTTTCAGCAAGAGAGGGAAGATAGTGAGGTGGTTGCCCGAAGCAGAGACCAGTGAGAAAGTACGTTTGCGGGATTGGGCAGCAGCGGACCTTTTTGGGGGTGGATGCAAGTCGCGCCTTCTCTGTCGGTCAGAAGAGCGAAGGTTCTTTTGCTCTGATTGGATGCCAAGTAATCATGTCTCAAATGTACCTGCCAGCAAGCCCAATTTTCAGTTCCTCTTTGGAGCCTTCCCTTTTGTGCCAAAATAACGCCTCAGCTTCCCCCCTCTCAGTTCACTCGAAATCCCTTCAAGCCACACTGATTCAATCTTTCGCCATGGCGCCTACGACACTGTACCGGCAACCAAAATGCTCAGGTCCCTCAAAGGCGGAGTGAGATATATTACAAAGATGAAATCTTGAACTTGTACATGCGGGAGAAGATGACCCTATCTGAGGTGAGGCAGATAATGGTGGACGAGCACTCCTTCAACGCAACGTAAGCGTCACTTATTTTCTCTTCCAGCTAGCCACATTGCAATTGTTATAGGCCCCCATGCTAAAAATTTGCCAAAGAGAGAAAATGTTCAAGGATCACTCTAAAGTCTGGGGTGCGCAGAAGAAGGTCACGGCGGACGACGCGGCACGATACCTCCTCAAGGCAAAGCACGCACGCAACGGTGTATACAAGCAGCCTGAAGCGCCACAGAGCCTGGCAAAATTCGATGCCAAGAGGATCCAACGATACTTGAGTCGAAACCCACAACCCCTGCATCGGCTGCTGTCCGGAACTAAGTCTGACAACGCCCGGCCTATACTTGACATCCAGTCCGTGGTGGATGCGCGTCAGGGAGACGATAGGATGGATAGCTCTGCAGAATCCTTGCGTCCTGGAGAACGTGAGAGGGACATCCATCTCAACAATTGATTCGCTCTTAAACAGCAACATTTCCTCGGATGTTGTCGACAACCCACTCACCTGGGAAACAGACGAGCAAGTGCATTTCCGCTTTTGCTCCCTCATTTTTACTGCTGCTGCAGGTTCTGGAACTTACATATGTTAGAGAAGCACGACTACGCCTGACAGTCCCACTCTAGAGGTGATGGGCGAAGA